ATATGAGGGCCAGTGACACTGCCCTCTACAGCTAAGATGCTGAACAACAGCTCAACCTGGAGCTGGGCTGCCATGAGTCGCTGGCAATGGTGTAGGCTACAACCTCTGCTGCAGTGGTTTGCCATGGGCTACCGTGTGTAGCCAGCAGCCAGCATGAGCGGCCAGCAGGCATCATGAGCAGCCGTCCAGAAGCCGGCGACTGATCTGCCTCTCCCGGGAAGAGCGCAATGTTGGTGCCAACTTGGGCCAGTGAAACAACATCCTCCACAACTAGACTGAAGAACAAAATGACAGCAACTTTTCTGTTCACTTTCCCCCAATTCCCCAGCGCTGTTCCCATCCCCCAATTCCCTAATAAAAATCTTTAAAAAAAACGTAATGATGATTAGCCAGAGGGAGATGAAGACTTCAGGGCCCTAATCCTAGAGCTAATGTTTGAGAAATGCTTCCACATTAAAGGGCTCCCAAGAGGTTCAGGCTGGACTTCTTCCAGAAAATTCACTCATGCTTATTTAACAAGTTGACACTTCCATGATTTTGGAAATTCTAATTCTAGGTAGAAAAAGGAAAAAAGTGTTTCTGCTCTGATGATGAGATTTTGCTTAACTGCATCCATCAATAACTGAGAGTTACTGGGAGCCCACCGAGACATAGTTCTTACAGTTCGCTCTGTGACTTCTACGCTTGTCCTTTCCTGTAGTGCCTGACCCTGTTTTAGGATCTGGTTCTTCTTAAATATATCATCACACAGAGGCCTTGGAATAGCCACAGTGTATTGATTTCTACAGAATGAAAGCAGTGTTCAAGGCTTCTATTGTCCTCATAGAAATGTGAGTGCCTTTCAGCTACACCCAAGTCCATGTTCTCAGGACATTTTGGTGACTTGTGCTCTAGAGAAGAATGATTGTCCCATATGTGCCTTGAATGAAACTCTGTAAAGGAACCAATGACTAATAATCCATTTCCAGACCATTCTCCCCCTGGTGGCATCTGGTCCTCCAGCCTGTGATGGTCACTTGCTATGCAGAGCCAGGCTCACGCAGTTTGTCAAGATGGCCAGTCACCATGCAGTTAGCTTACTGGCTCTGTGTGTCAGCTGTCTCAAAATCCCATTAAGGCTGCTGCTTCCTATGGTGAGCCTGCCTGTAATTGATCTTTCATGTGTTATATGTGGAGTTCCACAGCTCGGGGCTCTGGATCCTTGCAAGCCTTCCCCCTGTGGTGTTACTGAGGGATGGTAGAGTAGAGAAGGAAGAGAGGGGGGAGTGGAAAGAGGCCGCTGGCAACCATTTTAACTGTGAAGCTGCTAGACCTACAAGGCCAACCCCACAGAGTCAAATTAGGGGATTATGGCTGAAATAAGGCTCTGTATAATTATCCCACATACCCTACAATGCTTCCAGCTGAAAGGTGGGTGGCCTTGCGAACTTTGGTACCTTCCTGTTGATAGCAAAAGACACATCATACAACATAAATTAAGTAACCATAAAATGTTCCAGAGTCTAATTAAGACCTTGTCTCCACTTCTTTGGAGGTTAGCTTTTAAGGCAATACAGGTTCAAAATATTTTGTACAACTCCAGCAAATCTTATAATACGTGATGAAATAAACCCAAAAAATTGCATGAAAGGACTTGTGCTGAAGGGCACAATGGAGGCAGTACGGCCAACCACAGCTGGATGCTTGAATCATTCCTTCAGAAAGTTGGTAGAAATGTGAGCACTGACTGTCAAAAACAGTGTGCTCTCGGTTCATGCCATTCCAGTTCCTTCCTTTGCCATGCAACCATGGCAGATCAATTAAACCAGCTTCTGCTTCTGAACTTTCAAGTTGTTACATAAACTCTCAAGTGAGACTAAGCAATTGATTGAATGTGTCAGCAACATTGATCCCAAGAGAAGATCTAATGTCTAAACTGACATGGTTCCACAACAAGGCAGAGGGTGGGCTGAGTGAACCCTTCAGTTTCTATCCAGCTTCCTTCTTTTTGGTAGGGTTATACTGCTTTTGGTGCAAATGAAGGGGCTAACAATAAAACCAATCATTTCTAGTGTATTTACATTGTGTGGGCGTGAGAGGATACTGTCTACTCTGCAGCTTCTGACTCTTGGCTGTATCAGTGTCTTCTAAGGCTACAGCATTGTTTATCCAGTGGTTACAGTATCTAGTGACAGCCTTACTGACAGACCACACACACTGTGATTTAGATGGTGTCTCTGTCCTCAGACTTCAAGCAAATGACATGCCTACCCTATTGCCCTGTGAGTGACCTACTGTGGAACCAGGCCCGGAAGTAACTGGGAAAAATACCCATTTAGACTGCTGCCTGGAAGCTCTCTTATGATCACTGGTTCACACTCTCACTTACTCATCTGCAATGTGAGATTAAAATAACTGGCTGGGCAGGTATATTTAAAAACACATATACAATCTATGTCACAGACGTATATATTTATACACTAGACTCATTTCCTGACATTATTCTAGAAGGGTAAGGTTATTTACACACCTTTGTGGCCACAAATTCTGAACCAACAGCCCTTTTTTTTTTCTTCAGAAAAAACATGCTGAAAACAGTCTTATCTGTTATTTAAAAAAAAATCTGGTATTAAATAAAATGAAATTAATCTGTGTCGATTAATTTTAAAAATTCACCAGACAAAATATGTTGCCACAATACCCTGAATTCGTAACAATTCTTTCAAAAAATTTAAGCAAAGTTTATATTTTCTATACACATGTCATCATGATTTTCTACCCTTCATGAAACTGAAATTGAAGTAGAGGTCAAATAGGATACGTCAAAAAAGTTCCTCTCCCAACCTGCTCCATGATGCCAGGAATCCCACCCTTGAAGGAATTCTTCTGCTAAATGGTGTGATTCATCTGCGTGTACTGTAACTTAAGCGGGG